AAAAATTTAACCGTCTTTCTTCAATAAGTTTTGAAGCCCTTCTAGTCCAAGACTTGACTTGGGGACTGGACTTGGTGGGACACCTTGTAAACAAACAACAGAATAATTGTGGTGTTTTCTTTCACTATTTAAGATATCCCGGGGATTGAAAGGAAATGAATCCGTGTTTTTCCGGTCAGCATCTCGATGGTTGCCTGATACAATCTAGTGCGGATGGCAAAGCTGCGATTTCCGCTAAATCATGTCTGTCTTAAACAGGTTGTAAGAATGGAATTCAACATATTAACTCACTGATCGTGTCATAAATTCTTAGTCGACTCCGTACCCGGTTGAAATCGGCCAAGTAGAAATCCGGACGCGTTGCCGGAGTCGCTGTAGAGTCCTCTGATGAGTTTCACCCCCGGAATTTATAATGTACGTCTGTTCCGGACCCGCTGACATTCGTTTTGTTTTAGATCATTAACCCCCTTTCAGAGCGATATTTTAAAATAAATTGCTGGTGGCTGCGCAGATTTTCTTTTTTCGCCTAAAGGAGGGCGTGAGGCATTCAGCTCCCCGCTATTTTTACCAAATAATAAACCTTTCCGAATTTGGGCCAAAGGCTACGGTTAATTAAAAAGAAACCGAATGTTGTGCCTCTACATTATTTTGGCTTATTCACCGGGGGGGATTTGATTAAATCTTTCCTCATCGATTCTCAATTAAAATGTTTCTTCTCTTAGCCAACAGCAGCACTTGTTTGCAAATGTTTTACATTGCAAGAATATACAATTCAGTTGATAATAATTCAACACTGCACCAAGTTGGCTAATAAATAAGAGAAGGAGAGATATCTGGAAAGCGTGACTCGTTTACAATTGCGGATCCTCAGGCGGCTTGGTAGAGCCGACTTATGAGATGTTGCTAACGTGTTGAGCCCATAGGGAAACACTCTTATTGTATTATTTCGAATTAACAACAAATATTTTGAGCGAGTGTCAGTGAACAATCGGTTACGTTCGCTCATGTGTTCTATTCAGCGTTAGTTCGTGTAAATTTGTAACCATTTTCTTATAAAAAATCTCAGTGTATAAGGATTTGCACAAATATTATGTAAAGACAGTTAATTTGACTAACTGTATCACGAATATCAGTTAAGACCAGCTAAAAGTCACTCAAGTGAATAAATTAATTACAAAAAACTTCCCCTCCGTTAAACCTCTCATTAGTGGTTTGGCGTAACAACGTCAATATAAACTAAAAGCAATTTTATAAAACCCGCGAAACAAAAATGCAAATCCTTTGGTGCAGAGTTTTATTTTGAAGAGGAGGCGGCTCTGTGTGGAAAGTAGATTGAAAAGCCATTATTTCCCGTTGCTCAGATGGCGCTTTCGAATATTATACTTTAGACTTGACTACACTCAACTAACTGTTCAAAGGACAATCAGAGCTCGTATTTGGAGGCGTTTGTTGGCTGGAAAAAATCAATTTTCAAGCGATAGATGGCCACGTTAACTAGCTACTATTCGCGAGTTCAAAAGTCCAGACGCCCCTGGTGGCTAAAATTATAACTACGTAGTTAAGTAGTAATTTGACACTGCTGTGTTGACATTGGTGTTTACATCTGATTGTGATTTGTTTGGCTTTGTTCTAATCAGCTTTAGCAAGCTTAAAAAACATAGAAACAGATCGACAAGTGTGTAAGTATTGTTTTACCTATGTCATAAATGTCATCAACTCCAATCAATAAACAACTCTGACAGGTCTCAACTGTCACTTACCAACGAGTAATTTGACGTTTAGCAGCGCCCTCATCGGTAGTTGAACTAATTCTTTGCTAGGGCGCAACTCACATGGCCACCGTTGAGACACTCATTTTTCTACAACTGTTGAAAAATAATGGCTCATTAGCAGTGGCAGAAGCTTTTAAGTGTGGGTTTATCCACTTTTGGCGGAACAAAGCGCAGGTAAAACACTTGCTCTTTGTGCGTTTTGAGGTGCGATTGCACACAGGCGGGAATTCTGAAAGAGCACTTGAATATTAAAGTGCCATGTTTGTTGCCGATTAAATTTGAACACAACTGCCTACAGCTTTCCGTAAAGAATCCGAAAAAACAGCAGAAACGCGCAATACGAACCGGATTGAATTTTATCAATAAATCTTCTTCTTTAATTTAAATGTCAAAGCGAATTTCCATAAGGATTTCATTATGTTCGGCAATGAGCGTCATTCATTTTGAAGGTGTTGGGACGGTATTTGCAATTGACTTTTCATGTATAATGCGTTTCGAATGAACCCGTCCTACGGAAATGGCCATCATTTATATCTGGAACATAGGAAGGCTTCTAGTCGTTTGCGCGACTTGCGCTGATGGACTGAAGAAGCGAAAACTGATTTTTTAGCCGACAACAATGGCATTACTTTCAAATAACACAACAAACCTTTGTGCGCTATTTAAGGGCTTTGTTTTCCGCCCTCAAAACCGTAGAGATAGTCTTCGGAACATTAATTAGAGCTCCTTGTATTCAGCGCGATTTTAAAAAGCGACACTTCATTTACTTCTTTTGAAGCTCGAAGCTGCTTTGATAAGTTAGCTTTCTTCTAAACCCGGAAATTAATGAGCCTGTTTTAAATGAAAGCCGAGCGCGGTCTTATCTGGGGAAACCAGTCCAAACTTATTTAAATAATGCGAATTTTCTCAATGGTTTAGTTGACCACTTTTTATTTGTTTGTGTTTTGTTAACATTCGACATACGCCAGTACACCATGTTTCTGACTCAATATTGAACATTTCAAAACAAGGACCTTTCAACATCTTCTGGAAAGCCCCCAACTTCGCCCTTAAACACTCAGTTTAAAGCGCTTAGAGTGGACTTTCCGACGGTTTAAAAATAACAAAAATACGGGCAATAGAATCCAAAGAAAACCTACGTATTGATGAAACTTTTGAGGCAATTTTACTCGAAAATGACAAATTTTATTCGGTTGATACAAGAATACATTTTTTACTGCTAACCTGAGAAGTCACCAGCACACCATCTTCCTAGTGAGAAATCATGTTTCTCTCCCCGTAATATTAATAACAAATTACCTATGTAGAAAGTGAAAGAGGTTTACCTACGTTTTACATTATTTTAATTTTGCCCACCTTTCAAAGTTCAGGCGAGATTCCATCCATTCATGGAAATAAAGAAATTAATGTGATTAGTACAATAGTAAATCTGTCCAAAGCCTAATTTATTTGAAATCAGCAAAGCAAAGAGTGAGATGTTTCACACTTCATATTTTTATATTATTTATATTTAAATAATCCATAAAACTTCAGTTCCTTGTCGGAAAACTAAACTCAGTTCAAGCTAAAAGCTTAAAGATCATTCTTACAAGATTTTTGCAAGCTGTCGCCCCATCCTCCATTTTCTACAGGGTGTACCGTAAGCACATGATCTATAGGGCTACTACTACTACTGCGGTATTATTTGGATCAAAAGAAGACGATCTGACCTAATTTTTATTTACAAAAAATGTCTGGTCCTCTGCTATTGATGTTCAAAGTTCTTCAAAAAATGTATCTTTTTTGAAATATTGGGAGAATGGTACGATGTATTTTGGTAAAACTTGCTGTGAATTTGTTCTTATGTAAGACTCATATTTTGATGAAACAATCGAGTTCAGCCGTTTTGGACAAGTGGTGAATTCTTGAGTGTCGTGGTAC